TTCTACTGAAGCCTTCCGAGTAAATCGCCAGAACGCCGACACCTCCTCATCTCCACCGATCCCATGTTTTATTTTGTGTTGCCATAAGTTAGTCTCTCTGCGTTTCTGCGCTGGGCTAATGCTAATAATGCTAATGCGAGGATAATAAAATGGTGGCTTCACAACACTTTTTTTGAGTTTTACGGGGCGTGGTTTGCAATCCGCCCAGCCAATCAGAAATATGGCTCTTTTCTCACAAGAGAGCCGCATGAGAGAGCAGGGACGGAAAAGGGGGTAAAAAGGTTCTCATGAACTAATTTTAGTTCCGGCTCTTTTTGGTGTGAACGCGACATTTCGGAACTATATCGGAACTAAAGTGGGAAAAGTACTCCGGTGTGAACGCGGCTAATGGACAGTGACGTATCTCCAACGAGGCGTTTTGGGGAGGTATTTTCTGAGTTTTACTCGCTACAGGGTGTACTTTGAGGGTTTTGACTCTGCAGACCGTTTACATGCATAAAAACCTTCATAACACGCAAGGGGACGGGTAATAACCGGAAAAGCATGACATGGGACCTTTAATAGACTGAGTACTTTGTTTTGTTTGTACCTTGTGGGGGATCCTTCTTCGCCGTCCATGTTGCTTAAATTCTCTTCACTTGTCATTGATCTGTAGCTCAGAGCTGGAGAAAATGCCTGCTCTACATATTGCCTGAAAAAAAGAGTGGCAGAATGACAGTTTGTTAATTACCTAGTAACCACATTATAACAAGCAATCACACTCTTCCATAATACATGTCAGATAAGCAGCTCATGTGAAACCTTTTCCTCAAGCAGCACCGAGAACATTCAAGTCTAGAGAATTTGAGTTGGGGAAAAGGTCTTATTTATTATTATCAGCTTTGTATAGATTGTGCTAAGCCTATGAATATGTATCTTTTGAGAGTTGAGTGGCGTTGCTAACACTGAGACAAATCTTATATTTCCTTTATTAACTTAGAGCAAAATACACAGACAGGTATAGGTCACCCACTCAAACCTGTAATAAGAAACTCAGATTGCTCAATATAGCTATAAATGTTTTTTTGTTTGTTTTTTAACGCTCTAGGCTTTTCTAAAATATTGTATATATATATATATATATATACACATATATATATATATATATATATATACATATATGTATATATACACATATATATATATAGTATACATATATGTATATATATACACATATATGTATATATACACATATATATATACATATATATATATATATACATATATATGTATATTTAATGAGATACAGTTAACATATTGAATTAAGGGTTGGGTATACGTATTACACCCAACTGGATTAGATAAGATGGAGAAAGAGAAGTCAAATTCTTCATTCAGTTCATTAGGGGAACCGCAGATCTTCCCATTATCCTTGCTGCTACACAAAATGATTAAATATTGGTTTGACTTGTTCGCAGAAAAAAACAATAAGATAAGGCTAGATGTTGTTTATATGTTTTAGATTTGAAATAGTCCTTCTAACATAACTTCACAGTATGACGACCCTACATTGAGAGGAAGGATATTTAGGGCTCATAAGTGAAAAATCTCAGTACCAGTGGCTGGTGTCCATTGGAGTCTGATCCAGGTGGAGTGAACGCCTTCTCTCAGGAATGTAGAAGATGCCGTCATCCTCATCAGACTCACGCCGCCGCCGTCCTCTACCAGACACGGCCTCCCCTATGGAAGAGCTGTCTGACAGCGAGTCCATCTCCTCCATCGCCGCCATATAACTTTGGTCCATCTTGTCATAGAAAGGGTCAGCCAACGACTAACATTTTTCCCAGGGTTGGTCTCTAGGCAGTAATGTGTCTGTACCTGCAGAGGAACAAACATGGGAAATAAGATATATATCAATTCTCAAATTCTCTATCAGGGTATAGAGGTTTCCACCAGACCGGATTTTCAGGTTTCTACAGTTGGACTCTGTTTCCCATGTGTGTGCAGTATGCTAAGATAATGCATTACCTTGAAGAAAAAAAACATTAAATGCAAGGTTACAGAAATGTCCATTTATTGTTATTGTATTCAAATTCACATGGCATTGATGGCAAAGAAAGATGTAGTATAATCATTTAGATTCTACTCAATGGTAGATACAGAATACAAATTAAATCATTTCAAAAGCAACAACAATGTAATAACCTAGCTTCATACTTAGTATTATTTAAAGGTCATATTATTTAACAGCGTTAAACAGGGTTGTTTAACCTGCCTCAAGACTACACGGTTTCCTCCCCATATTAACCTAGAGGTGCAGTAATGGGAAGCTAAATTAAAAAGTTACACTTGTGTGACTGTGAGCCTCTGGGTCGCTCGAGAGATCACGTCACGATATGTCAAAAACTGTAGCTGCATTCATGTTCAGTCGGACGAACTATCAACCTGTATACATCCAAGCTGTTAACAGAAACAACTGTAGCAGCTCTAGCTAGCATAAATGCTATTTAATGGTATTTTAACTGCACTCTTCGGTCTTGACTTCTCATGTTGATATATCAGTGGCATAGTGTCTGTCCTTCTGCCTCTTTCTCCTTAAGTCTTTAGTGAACATGATGTAATCTAATTCCAAAATCCCTTTTGATCCAACGTCAGCTAGTTAGTTAAACTTGAAGTTAAGTAACGTTAAGTACTTTGATTCGGGAATGAAAATACGTACGAATAAAGGAAGTGAGTTTTACGTACAATTATAACATTACTTTTACTATGACAAAATACGTAAATATCAAAGCATGTGTAATTATACAAAAACATTATTGTTACTTACTAAGTATTGCAACTAATGAACGTTAACTCACCTTTGGTACAGTCGAATCTTCAGGAAGTCAAAGTTTCTTCTTCTCATCGCGTGAGTAGCAACACATTACGCAGTCTCTGCCATCTAGAGGCCGGAAGTGTGAACAACATGCAGCCTGTTTGAACAACTTGAGTACATTACCACTGTCACCATAGATATATATAAACAACATATCGTGTTTATATATATATCTATGGTGACAACCATAGCAAAATGTGCTGTTACGTAGTGATGGCGAGATGAAGCCTTAGTATGAAGCTTTGGAGCTTTGGGCTCATCTAGGCTTCATCATGGGCTTCATCTGAACACAAACCCCCCTGTTGGTCAAAGTGTGTAAAACAGGCAGATTTGACATCTGTGTGCTGTATCTCATACCGAGTTCCCAATGACTAAAGCCTTAAAATAACTCTAAACAACGAACATAAAATCATATTTTCATGTTAACAATATTGTATTTATTCCAGTTTAATGATTGTGATTGAAAAGCCTAAGGAGGCTGGTAAACATGGCAAAGAGGGATTTGTATTCCTTAATAATATTCGTAAACGTAACCATGCTCTAGCCTGAGAAAGGCTAAACCATATCAAATAATACATTTATTAACTACATTATCACATGTAGCTGTAGCTTTTATAAACAAAAAAAATACGTATTGACCATTCATTAAACCAGGGACCCTGCGGTTGTGAGTCAACCGCTTTCCACTTTGAGCCACAGCTCACACAATGGATCTATCGGAAAAAACGGAATACTATTTATTCCTGTATTTATTCATTTATTTATTTATGTTTTTATTCCTACATTTATTTATGCTTTTATTTATTTATACTTGTGACATTTTCCGACCTCTATATAAGTGAGGGTCTGAGCTCTCTTAATTCCATCATGTCACCGGGCCCGGGTACAGGAGGGGTAATATCGTTCTTATTATACATCCATGGGTAATATGAGCGTTGTGGTTCAACTAAAGCACTTTCTGAAGCAGTCACGTGGTATTGAGGGGCAGCGAGGCTTCGTTTGTCATCGGTGACGTCACTGGCCCAAAACGATACAAGCATCGATACAAGCTTCACAAAAAGCTTCACAAAAAGCTTCGGGGATTACTCGACACACGCTCCGAGGCCTCGGCTTTTGCAATCTTTTGTAAGACATGTAGTTATCTCACAATATGAAAGGGGCAGGTGAACAATGATTTACTTTTAAATTATTTTCGAATTGTAATTGTATCCATATAAATTCTAAAAACATGTGTGAAAACCGTGAAAACAGGTTGCACAGCTGGCCCACATCAGGCTTAATTAGCAAAAGAGCTTGAACCACAAAACGTTACAGGGATTTAGTAATGCACTCCTACAGTATAACACTTCAGCTTGAAAAAACCTTTTGAAAAAATGATCAAATGCAGTTGAACCAGAGATATTGTCAACTTTATTCTATGCTTTCATAGTAATAGCCAACATAACCCACAATACAACACGACTGTTGACGGTTTGCCAGAGACTTCAAAGCTAGGCTACTAATGCCGCTAATGTATTGGTAAATTCACTTATTTTAATCCAATCCACCAGATATGTTTCTAAACTTTCCAAACTAGCTTCAAACTCGTCCTGAGCTCTATCCAACACTGGGACTAACCTCGAGGCATGATTTAGCATCATGTTATTATATATTGCATTTTTTTAGCATTCTTAAAAAAGACAAACATTCTCATCTTAATTTATGGCACTGCAATTATACAAGTCTGATACTGTTAGTTGTTGTGCATGGCCAGTGAAATGCTGGAATGTCCTTCTGGCTGTTATCTACTGCATAAATATGAGTCATAAAGGTAAAAAGGAAAAAGAAAAAACATCATAACAGCTGGTGCTTTTCAGAGCTGTATATTCGCTTGTCCTGCCACATTATCAAGCTTCACACAGAAAAGCTTCCTCTCCATGTTTCTTTATCGATTATGTTGAATGTCATTGCTAGCCCTGCTTGGGTTTATGCTTTATTGGCTCATTCACCTGCTTGTACCGTTGGCAACACTTGCAAAAAGTCAAACATGTTTTTTTCAGACACAGCATGCTTTGTCTGAGAGTTTTACATTTGAATGCAGCCTATTGATTTCAAATGAATACTTTTTCAAATGTATTCATGCTGTAGACTTTTATTTTACCAAGATGATGGACATAATAAGCTAGGCCTACTTTAAATATCGTGATTACTAAATTATAACAGATATCATGGAAATGTAGAGTGTGCATCATCAGTGTATTTATTTCTTTAAATAGATGGTAAGAGATTCAGTTTAGCATTTAATGGATTGTCCATGCAGTCATACGCTTAGACCCTGAGGCTGTTTACCAAGACATGAAAAAAGCGAGGCGCATGTCCGCTTCCTTGTCTCGTTAGTGACCGCTACACTGCGCTTTGTGTGATGGAGGCGTGAGCAGCGACAAAGACGGCAGGAGGAAACATTGGAGTGTATGAGAGGTGGTTAGTGCCCGAAGGACTGATGGAGAAGGAAGCGGAATCATTGTCAGCCTGGTCATTGTGTTGAATGGATTAATTGGTGGCTCAGGTTGCATGTTCTATATTGCTGTATATATTATGGAGAAATAATGTATTGTTTCTGCAATAAGTGCGTATCGTGCTTGCAGAAACAAAGTTGAACGAGTGCAATCGCTTGTTGTGCCCCATATGAACATCCAGAAAAACTATTAAAAACATTCCCTCATTCAGACCTGGACCCAATCCATGGATGCAATGCTCTCAGCTTGATCCATTCACATTTCTATGGCTGGGAAGCCAATTATGGGTCATGTCCTTTTTCTGGCATTGGCAACTCATGGGTTCTTTGTTGTGGTCTGGTATTGTCCCACCAGCACAGTTCCTTAAAAGAAAGATTTATTATGGACAGTGACATGTGTGAAGGATTCAATAATACCTAAAGGAATGCGGTTGCAAAAATATCCCTTTCTAAGCGTGATGGTGAACATATAGTGGACTTCAGGAAACAAAGGAACATGAAAGGCCTCTTGTTTGTTGTGGGTTATTGTAGAAACATGGTGCGGAATCGTGCCCACTTTCTACGTATAGGGTTCATAACAAAATACATTAATTATTAGTGTCTGGAGACCATAGACTTTAAAAATATATGGTTATGAATATTGTATTCAATGCTTTTCTGCTACTAAATCCCCCAAAATTATACACACTTGTCTTTTAACATTCTTATAAATTGTGCATGCTCATGCGTGAACTGCAATGCAACATAGTTCTGCAGCTCAGCCAAGCTGTTCATTTACTGGACTGTTTTTATTATCAACATTCATAAACTGGATGTCATTAATTCCCCCTGCCTCTTTCTGTGGCACTAATCGCCCCTCATACAACACAATTCGTACGGTGAGGGCTGTGACTCTATGTCTGTGTGTGAGGGAGGATGCTCAGAGCGAACCCAACATTTCCAGACACCAGTATGAAGTGACACAGTCTGTGCGTTGTTCTCCTCCGCACTGGATGGTACTGGGATGTATTTGGGAAGGGGGGGTCGAGTAACAGCGACCCACCAGCATTACAGCCACTGAACCTGACATGAATGACAAGTAAAAAGAGCTCTTTCAAGCGAGCATACAGCGCAGGAATGTGCAGAAGTCCACCGGGCTGCACTCGGGCTTATCAAAGCGATATTTTGGACCTTTTGGACCTACCTCGTTTTGTTTGTAAACACTCAAACCCACCACAGAATAATTTTGAGGGCCATCTGATTTATCCTTTTTAATTTGTAATTGTTATTCTTAAAGAAAAAACATTTTTTGAGGGGGGTGGGCGTGTTTGGGGTGTTTTTCTTTTGTCAAGCGCGAAGACAAACTTCTCTATGGCACTGGTTATGGAGCCTGTGAGCAAGTGGAGCTCCAGTCAAGTGGTTGACTGGATGAAAGGTAAGGCTTCAGGCACGATGTTAGCCTAACTGTTCTCACAAACTGCAATATCGCATGAATACAGTCTTCTGCTGCGAGTGGAAACGCATTTCATCACAGATTCACTCGAGATGCCAAAAGGGAACAAAACACCTGCTGAGCCTCGGGTTGCTGCCTCATCGGCATGCGGCTGATAGAGGCTTTTAATTACATCCTTGAATCATTGATCGATTTATTCCAGACTGTTTCAATCTGTAGACGACTTGTCCTTTCAGATCAAGTGTGCCTCTATTGTGTCCCTCGGTGGTTTGTTATCGCTGGAGGCTGGGAAACATAGCAGAGATTCAGTAGTTAAAAACACAACCCTTCTCACTGGATCATTCTGAATCCATGTTCCAAGTAATCGGTTAAGGGTTATTCCTGCTATCTAGAATAAGAGCTATTATAGCTGTACATTGTCAAAGCCTACAGCCATCTGTGCCAAATGTTGATCCACAGATGTTCTAAAACATTAAGAAGTCACAGCTGACAAGTAGCTTAAATAGTCTTAAAATCCACTGATGAACTCTAACCCCTATGGTGGTATAAGAGTATACCAGCGCTGAGCTCAGGTTTAGTATTATTATAGGCATTTATTTAGCATAAGAGCATCTTGTGTAAGTTGGAAAACATTTTATATTTGGGAAACACCCAAAAGACAAAGAGGTTTGAACACAAATATATGATCCAATAACAGAAGCATTCTTGAGGCCAACTGCTCTCCTGATGGAAAGTGATGCTTTTGTATGAACTGAATGAAGGCCTAGGCCTATATAATTGTTCATATGCATTATTTCCTTTATACGTTTGTTAGGTATATTAGATGAGAGGCTCCTCAGAGGATAATCGTCTGAATATATAAATATCCCACACAATGTCAGGGCACAGAAAACTCATTAGATTTTCTGCTTTTTGTCTGTTTGTATTACAAAATGTTTGCCTCTGGAGGTCTGTTATTATCAAATGTGCAAAATACAAGTCTTTTTTTAGTGATGTGTGTTGTTAAGAAGAGCCACATGCTCACGTGTCAGGCCACAGCCCTTTTTGGATGAAACATACATATCATACACATACATGTTTTCTGCCTCTCCACACACACACACACACACACACACACAC